AAGGGCTGTAATAATGTTTGTATTTTACAAGCACGGTACGTTGTCGGTTTAACAGTCATGTGAAGGGTTGCAGGGGCATCGCCGCTGTTGCTATGCAACTCGGGTACTCTCCAATATTCGTATTATGGTTAAATCAGTCTATTCACTTCTATACCAAATGCCGAAAAAACTAAATTGGTCACTTTAATGTATTAAAATATAGTAGTTTTAATACATAGTATGATCTTTAAAATAATTAAAATAAACACAATTTTTGGGACATTTCAGATGGGAGTACTGCCCCCACTTTTTTTCTATGACCTTTCCGTGAGCTTTGAGTGAATTTTACTCGAAAAATAGTAGTCTGAGTTATCAGTGATATCAAAACATAAAACAAGAGAAGAGCAACAGATAGCTGATGATGTACCATTGTAAAAGGAAATATGGACTATTAAATTGCACTTTGGAAAATATTAAACATTTGAGATCAGGGTTACAGAAAATAATGAGAACTTAAGTGGAATAGATACAGATAATCAATTCCTGATTAATCTTGATTTGAAGTTTTTTTTGTGACTGCAGGAATCCATAAACTTTGGTTCTTTCGGTAAAGTCACGTAGGTAGAAAAATAATAATAAATCATGACGTTCGATCACAACACAAGCAATCGTCATCAGGCAGAAAGGACTGCCGCAGAACTGCTGTGTTTTTTTCTACCTACGTGACTTTACCGAAATAACCAAAGAGTATCAATTCCTGATTCTTTAGCTTTCAGTTGATGAAGGGTTAATGTTATGGTGAGGATTAGGTGTTTACTGTTATGTATGTGTGTTTGACTTCTTTCGCACCGTACGTAGCCAACCCTGGTAATCGGAGGTGGTTCACGGTGAGGGTCGGTAGTTGTTCACACCACTCGCATTGTCCAGTATCTGCGGGAACCGTGGTCTCAGCCATAGAATAAATTGGACCGTGACTGGTCAATGCAGCATCGTAATTAAACAATCAGGTGGACGTCGTGCTGCCAAGCAGAACATTTCTATACAGTCCATGACGAGCCCAGCCAGATGAGATATTTCACTTGTCAGTACCACCTGAGGTGGCATAACCTGAGCGGTTACACTGTATGGATGTGGCCAATAACGGTGAATTGTGTTATAACAATTTGAAATGAAAATTTTGACTTAAAACTTTCGTGACTGCAGGAATTCATATTCTTTGGTTCTTTAGGTAAAGTGATGTAAATAGAAAAATGAAAAAAAAATTGAATAAAAGTAATGCAAATAAAATTAAAATAATAAAAAAACAAAAAACACTAATGTAGACTGTAGCCTGGTTCTAAATCGGAGTGAGTGTACTGGCAGTCAATAATGTAGAATGAAGCCTGGTTATTAAGTTTGGTGAGTGTACTGGTAGTCTATAATGTAGACTGTAGCAATGGATATTAAGCTGGGTGAGTGTACTGGCAGTCTATAATGTAGACTTGTAGCCTGGTTTTTAACCTCGGTGAGTGTACTGGCAGTCTATAATGTAGACTGTAGCCTGGTTTTTAAGCTGGTGAGCGTATTGGAAGTCTATGTTGTAGAATGTAGCAATGGTTATTAAACTGAGTGATTGTACTGGCAGTCTATAATGAAGACTGTAGCCTGGTTCGAACCTGAATAAAAATAAAATATTAAAAAAACACCACGACGTTTCAATCGCAACACAAGTGGTCGTCACCAGGAAAAAGGGGGGTTAGCCTCTAAAGGCAAACTGTTTATAAAGGTTTAGAGATGGGCATAGCGCAAGTGTGTCAGCAGCATGGGCGGGGCAGCTAATGGCAACAACTAAGCAGTTAGTGGGTCTCCACCAAAAGGGCTTCCAGGCAATCATTGCACCTTGCTCCACACACCCACACTGCTGATGGTGGAGGTTGACAAGAAAACATAAATCAAGTCATGACCCAAAGTGGTTGATGACATCTTTGCAATGATTTCTGAGTTGATAACCATCCTCTCGGTTGAAATTGTGTCTGTGTCTGTATATATGGATGGCTTCATGAACGAATCTTTGTTGATAGCCAGTAGGCTTGCAAAGTACCATCGTCTTAGATAAATCCATTTCGTGTGAGCCAGCTGCATTAAAATGATTGGCCACGGCAGAAGTATTGGTCCTACCGTGTTTCAAATCTGCCTCATGTTCACGAACATGGTCCGAGACATGTCGCTTATTATCCCCAATGTAACTGCTGCCGCAGATACAGCTTAGTTTGTAGACGCCGGGATATTGCATGTCAGGAATATTGTCCTTCACAGATGGGATTAGATCACAAATGTTATGTACTGTGTTAAATCGGACCTGGATCTTGCGTTTGTTCATGATTTTGGAAGTCTTTTTGGTTACCCCTGCTATGTATGGCAGGGTGATGTGTTTGATTGGATCCTCAGATGGCTCCTTCCTCACGGTTGGGATGATGGCTTTGCGGATTGTATAGTCAGAATATCCATTCACCTTGAGAGCTTGGTGTATGTGTTTGAGTTCACTGTTCATGGTCGGAGATATATTGAGCTCTACGGTGTAGCGTTTTGATGAGGGAATTCTTCTGGGATGGATGGTGGTGGGAATCATGTTTTAGGTAGGCATCAGTATGGGTTACTTTCCTGTAGACAGAATGGCTCATTGAGTCATCTGGTCTCTTTTTGATTAGGACATCCAAGAAAGGTAGCATGCCGTCCTTTTCTACCTCCATGGTGAATTTAATGGCTGGGTGTATGGAATTGATGTGGTTGAGGAATTGGTTCAGAGCCGGTCGGCCATGTGGCCAGATGACAAACGTGTCATCCACGTATCTCTTCCACAAGGACAGGCGTAGAGTGGATGCCTGGATGGCGTCCGTCTCAAATTTTTCCATTAAAATATTGGCGACAACCAGAGATAAGGAAAAACCCATTGGGGTGCATTCAATTTGTTTGTAGAATGTTCCATTCCAGGTGAAGCATGTATTGGTGAGGCAGTGTCTCACCAGGGCCGGTACATCAACATTCAAGTCTTGTTGGACAAAATGTTCAATGATGGCAATGGTATCGGGCACATGAACTTTGGTGAACAAAGAAACTACATCGAAACTAACGAGCAAATCACCTAGGGACAGTGAGATGTATTTAATTGACGATACCAGGTGAGCCGAGTGAAAATTAAAAGAGATCCCACCAACATCCTCGTTACAAAACGAACAGTATCATCACTGATTCAGCTTTATTCATTGAACAGACCAAACGGTTTTCCTTAAAACTTTCTGCTGCTAGACCACCCAGATTATATGGCTTACCAAAAATTCATGAAGAAGGTACACCCCTTCGTCCCATCGTCTCCACCATTGGCTCACCCACCTACAAACTGGCCCAATCTCTGTCTGAGACCTTGCAGCCATTCATTGGTAAGATAGAAGAGGGTGACACAAAGAGGTGGCTGACAGAGAGAGGAGGGTGACACAGAGAGGAGGGTGACACAGAGAGGAGGGTGACACAGAGAGGAGGGTGACACAGAGAGGAGACTGACACCAGAGAGGAGGGTGACACAGAGAGTAGGCTGACACAGAGAGGAGGGTGACACAGAGAGGAGGGTGACACAGAGAGTAGGCTGACACAGAGAGGAGGCTGACACAGAGAGGAGGGTGACACAGAGAGTAGGCTGACACAGAGAGGAGGCTGACACAGAGAGGAGGGTGACACAGAGAGTAGGCTGACACAGAGAGGAGGCTGACACAGAGAGGAGGCTGACACAGAGAGTAGGCTGACACAGAGAGGAGGCTGACACAGAGAGGAGGCTGACACAGAGAGGAGGCTGACACAGAGAGGAGGCTGACACAGAGAGGAGGCTGACACAGAGAGGAGACTGACACCAGAGAGGAGGCTGACACAGAGAGGAGCTCACGGTGGAGTCTGCCGGCTGCTTAAGACACCGCTCGCTCCTACACCGCGTGAGATGGAACCAGGCGCAGCTTGTTATCACAACTACACCCACCCCTCCCCCCATGCGTGCTCCAGCACGGCTTCCTACAGGGTTCTTGTCAGACATCCACACAGCAATGCTACATCCACATTATCGTGATCACGATCATCAGTAACCGTGATCCACCCACACCACTACCGGATGAAAAAGAGCTTCATAGCTCAGCGGATTCCACAAGTATAAATATTCTTATTCTAAAGTCCTGCCCCTCTAAGCTATCCAAATCTCTCGCAACATCAGCCATACGATAGAATAAAACGGCCCTAAGACCACAATAACAACTGACGTTTGCCACTAAGTGGCGAAGACGTCAAAACGACGCTTGTGCCAAGCTAGGTGCACCTTGAGGCCACGTGAAGTGTCGATTGCTCGCTGCTGGAAGGAGTCACGGACCAAACCAAGGTGCCATGGGTTTACTGACTGAGGTTTCAGTTTTCAGTTTAATTTCAGTTTCATTTATTTGCTATAGCCCTGTGAGCCATTCGGCTCTTGAATCGGGTGCAACCGCAACAAACAAAAAACAAAAACATGAACAAGAAAACATCTTAAAGTGACTATGCGCAAACAGAAAAATCCAGGAAAAAACAGCAAAATCTTCCAGAAAAAGCACCGTACACCAACGCTGTGTGCAAAAATCCCAGTGGGATGCAAATCAAACAACAACAACAACCACAAGACAACTTAGATTAAAGCCATCAGTCTAACTCCGTACTACAACAAACATGGCCAAACCAAAAAACTTTTCGAAATCATCAAAATAAAGCCATAAAGGCAATGTAACAGTGATCATAGGAACTGTGACCGAAATTTCACAATAAACGACATAAACAACATGTACCACCAAACCCTGTAGCCATAGCTGGCTGCATGAGTCACTCTACAACAGTAGGAGCATCAGTAGGAGTATCAAAAATTTTCAATGGACCTTTAAAGATCAGCACACTAAATCAAAACGCAAGATCATACTTTGCAGCGGTCATCCGGAGCGAAACATTTAATTTTAGGCCACTGAATAGCAGTGGCAGCTAGGGTTGTACAACTCCTCTAGAGCAGTTTTGAGTGAAGATCTCATAGAACTCATAGACTGACTGAGGTGACTGGGAGATGCATCAACTGTCCTCCCCACTGTGCAAACTTGCAGCGTTTTATACGCCTGGCGCTCCACTCGTTGTTGTGAGCATGACTCCTCCGCCCACTGTTGTTGCTGGAGGGCGACTGCATCCGACTGCCCATTAGCAGCGTCTTTCACGAACGTCCTCCAAGTCCACTCGCAGCTCCACATCACTGAACCGCATTAGTCCATCTCTTCTGTAGCCTGTGCCGCGCCGGTTTAGCTCATACCCCTCTATCCGGCCAAACAGAAACTGCTCCTCCACACGAGCTGATTTTATCGCACAAGTCTCCACGGTGGACATCATCTCCGCCGCATTCCGTCATTTTACTGAGCTGCTGGACTAACGCGTCGATCTCTGTACCGCCTAGCACCGATTCGTAGCTCAGCGGTTGTCAAATCTCCAGTCCTCGCCACGTTCCGCCTCTGGACGTCCACCGACCTTCTCTCCATGCAAATACAACTAATTTCTTGATACACGCCGCATGCGCCTGATGATTGCTGAACACGTGGCGTGGAGAGACGACTGCACGACGGCGAACACGGCGTGGCGTGGTGGGAGCTCCGTGCCGACTTGGGGGGAATTACGCGGAGCCTGTGACGTCACGCTCAGGGCACTCAATACATGAATAATCATCGCTACTGATAAACGCCGTGCTATTTTTTTAATCTTGTGATATTATCATTACTATCACTGTTCAGTACGCGTACCGGGTCTCAGACTTTTATCTACAGCCACGACAGCCAGACACAGAACCAAACAAAAGCAGAAAAGCAAACACTGCAGAAATCACTACTGCTTCGTGAAAAATATATTCCGGAAAGCGTTATTGTAGTTTTTATTGAAGGCAGTGTAGATAAGCGGGTTGAAGAACGAGTTTGAGTAGCCGAGCCAGAGGAAGATGCTCTTCCACACGGGCGGCACGTCGCAGGAGCACAGCGGGCTGATGAGCTCCTTGATGAAGAAGGGGATCCAGCAGAGCACAAACACGGCGATGAGGATGCCCACCATGAGCGCCGCACGCCTCTCCTTCTGCTCGCGCCACATGTCCCCCTCGCCTATCTGGAACGTGACGGTGGCGTGGCGCACCGTGAACACCGTCTGCGGCTTGCGCGATGGGTCATTGGCCTTGCAGGCACGGAAAGGGCAAGCACAAAGACAAAGATCCCCCGTATAGCCTTTAAAATACTGTTGGCACACGTGCAGTTAGCGGGCACACCAATACCCGCCAGTCGCCACTAAGTGACGGTCACGTCACTACGGCGCCTGTGCCAGGCCAGGTGCACTCGGAGGCCACGCGAAGTGTTGAAGTACTCGCTGACAGGAGGTCACGGGACAGACCCAGGTGCCATGGGCTGGCTGACTGAGATGGCTGGTATATGCACCAGCTGTACCCCCTACTGTTCCAACTTGCTGGATTTTAGCCACTCGGCGCTCCGCTCGTTGTTGTACGAATCGCTCCTCTGCCCTCAACTGTTGTTGGAGGGCGACTGCCTCTAACTGCCCAGTAGCGTCCTTTACAAGCCTCCTCGACAAAGGCCGATCTTGACACCGCTGGTACCAGTCATCGGCAAGTCCACTCAGCGCCACATCTTCCAGTACCACATCAGTCCATCTCTTCTCCAGCCCATGTCGTCCTCGTTTAGCGAGAGCACACACCCGCCTTCCCGGCGATGGTATTTATTGCGCCCGCACCAAGAATTCATCATGGGCTGCATTAATCGAGGGCAGCCACGCACCGAGTTGGAGGACCAATTGGAAATTATGTTGGTGCGTGGCCGGGAATTGAATGCAAAGTGGGTGCTGAAAACAGTGAGCGTGAAATAAGCAGTGTGGTGGTGGGGGGGGGTATGGTTAGGGATAGGTTTAAGGGAAAGGCAAATGCTTGGCTCCAAATGTGAGGCCCTCCTATCTGTTTGCCAAGTACATTATATTCTGTTCACTTCTGGAGCCAGATTCACACAAAAAAACGTCTGAAGCACATCACTTTGGAGATGAGCTCATTTGTCTGAAACATCGAGAAAAGAACAGCAAACGCATCACCCCAGCTCCCACCCTCGCCACAAATGCAGCGTTTCATCAACAAAAAGTGCGATCAAATCAGTTTCAAAAATTGTAAAAATGGAAAGGTCTTCAATGTCAAGCAATCAAGCAAATTTAGTTTGCGGTGATGAGATGCTAACTCCCTCGCCTGGTATGCAGGAAAGTCGTGCGTTCAATATTCAGAGTTAGCATATTATTTTCGTGGTGGCGTGGATTCTAAAAACTAAACTATTTTTATTTTATCAGACAAGGTCCACTGAGCTATATTGCTCTTTTTCAGAAGCGACCTGGCCACAAATCATAGCTCAACGAAGTGGCTTATCACGTGGAAATATATAGCAGCCAAATACTTTAAACACATGTTTCTAAATATGGAGGGAAAAACCGGAGAACCAGGAGAATTATCCATGTGTAGTGGAGTAGGAAGGTGCGTAGTGCAAACAGCGTGATTACATAACACAGACAGTACGGGTTATGTTGGGTCAGCCTGTAGCGAAGGCGAATACAGTGCAGGTTATGTTAGGGCAATTAAGCTGGGAGAGCCAAGGACGGCTGTGATTGTTTGGTGCTGTTGCCAAGGCTGGAGGGGCGTCTTGAAGTCTGGCGAGGTAACAGGTGTACGGTCACGCGGAGTGCCGTTGGGACGCGTGTTGATTAATTGAGGCGTAATGAGAGCGGGGATAAATTGGTGGACGTGAGGAGAAACGGGAGGAGTTGGAGTTTGGGGTTGAAGAGTGGAGAGAGCTGGGAGAAGGTTGTTGAAGTTGGAGAGTTTTGGAGACGGAGTTGGAGACGGAGCTTGGAAACAGCGTAGCGATAGCGGAGCTGAAGAAGAGAAGTAGCCAGCAGTGGAGAGAGCGTAGCGATAGCGGAGCTGAAGAAGAGAAGCAGCTAGCAGTGAAGAGAGCGTAGCGATAGCGGAGCTGAAGGGAAGCAGCCAGCAGTGGAGAGAGCATAGCAATAGCGCAGCTGAATAGAGACGAAGCAGTTAGCGGTGGAGAGAGCGTAGTGACGTGATAGCGGAGAGCAGAGACGAAGTAGTTAGCAGTGGAGAGAGCATAGCGACGGTGATAGCAGAGAGCAGAGACGAAGAAGTTAGCGGCGGAGTAAGCGAAGTAATCGCGGTGGAGTGGAGAGACAAAGGTGGCGAACGAGTCGAGTGAAGTACGGCGAGCGAGCCGTGGCGACATGGATACTGTAAAATATTGAGAACATGCTGAGAGTTGTAAATAAAGCGGTGTTCGAAGAAAGACAGAAGTTGTCTGAGTGAAATCGAACACTACACGTGTGACCACGGGGAGAACATACAAACTGAAATATACAGGCATCGAACCCACCACCTCCTGTATACCAGGCGAGGTAGTTAACATTTCGCCACCATGGCGCCAACAACACTCTCATATCCTTCTACTATGCCTCGTTTGTGCGCGTGTATGTATGTCTACTTATGTGTTGCGGTCTGTCTGCATGTTTCAGGTTCAATGAAAGGTACACGAAGTACGCCTATAACACTTATCTACAGCCAAAATGCTTCTGAAATAAATGTAGTCCAACTTGACTAATTCTGGGTCACTGAGAATGAAAATTATGCTTAAAATTGTTGATTGGCTCTAGTTTTCAAGATATGCTACTGGGTCAGTATATACGACCCTTGACTTGGGAATGGCGGAGGATAAGTGAGTTCTAAAGGGGAGGGATCTCAATTTAAACCAGAAATGACTAAAATACATCTTTGACTGAATCTATGAATACATATATGACTGGGTTTGGACAGTACTTGCTTTTTGAGCAAAACAATGTATCATGCAATCTGAACCTGGTATTGCATCATACATGATATGAATTGCATCATGTGATTCCTAGAAGTCATGGATGATGTAATCATAACTAGGCTTACATCCCTCTGCTGAACAAATTGTCCTATATCAGCTCTATAAATCATACAGTGTCATATGGTGAAGTGACTTTTGCATCACAAAAGCGCCAGTATAACCACTATGGTTAAGAAAGCCTATCACCTTTATTTTGGCTGCAACATTGTAGATCAGGACAGAGAGCCAACAGATCACATCAGCAATTGTTACTTCTTCATGGCGCCTCCAGTTGGGAAAGGTGTGTCAAAGAAGAAAAAGTGGACTGTGAATTATCCAAACATTCCATCAGCTTTACGCCCAGTACCCCACAGAGAAAAACTGTCGGTTCCTGATGCACCAGGATCACTCACTTGAGTCAAACGAGGAAGCAGATGAAACTTCTGGTCCTGAACCATCAAGGTCACATGACCCAGACTTTTTCCCATCCTCCTCCTCTGAACAACACCTCATAACACAAGGTGAACTGAAAGACCTTGTCAGGGATTTGGAACTACTCAAGAGTAAGGAAGAGCTGTTGGGCTCCAGACTGCAGCAGTGGAATCTTCTGGTAGGTGATGTTAGGTTTTCTATGTTCCGTGACCGTCAAAAGGATCTTGTCCCATTCTTCTTTATGGAAGGTGATCTTGTAGCCTGCAACAACATCGATGGTGTGATGGCAGCCCTCAACATCGCTTATGATCCAGACGAGTGGAGACTGTTCATTGATTCATCGAAGATGAGTCTTAAAGCTGTTCTGCTGCATAATGGCAATGTTTTTCCATCAATTCCAGTTGGTCATGCAGTCCATATGTAGTGAATCACTTCAGAGACACTAATAGTAGGAGGCACTCTCGTTTATTCTAGCCATCACAGGTACAGGGGCTAACTATACTATTGTCAGGACAGCTAGCACGCTGCCTGACCAACAACGCCAAGGAGGTGAAGACAAGGACAAAGACGGGGACGAAGACTTGGTAGCACGACGGGTTCCATTCCAGACGACAGCCCCGACCCTGAGTCGGGGCCTCCCTTTTACCCCCCCAGCGTGGCCTGGCTCCGCCCTCAGCCACGCCCCCTTCTGGATCCTACCAGAAGGTTCCCGGCTTCACCTCACGTGTCTCCTCCATCACATTTGCCCTACATCCCTTTCCCTGGCCTATCACATGCCCTGCCGGCAGACCTGGCTGCTACACCCTCAGATCCCCCTCTCTGCCAGCAACCAGCGCTACGCGCATTCGTGACCAATTCTATGTCACTACATCTCACATGCCCTGCTGGCAGACCGGGCTGCTACACCCACAGATCCCCCTCGCTGCCAGTAACGAGCGCTACGTGCCCTCGTGACCCATTCTATGTCACTACACACATGAAGGAAACCTATGACAAAATTAAACAAGTTTGAGGTACATAAACTGTGATCAACATCAGTGGCACCTTTGTGGCGATTTAAAGGTTGCTGCTCTCTTGCTTGGTCTACAGACTGGATACGCGAAGTACTGCTGTTTTCTCTGTGAATGGAATATTCGTGCGAGAGATTCCCACTACATCAAGATAGATTGGCTACTCCGACAGTCATTTGAGCATGGGAGGAAAACTGTTCAGCATCTACCACTTGTTGAATCAAGGAAGATTTTGTTACCACCCTTACACATCAAGCTGGGCCTGATGAAGAACTTTGTCAAAGCCATGGACAAAACACAAGCAGCTTTCAAGTACCTCCGTGGAAAATTTCCAAGGTTAAGTGAAGCTAATATAAAGGATGGTGTCTTTGTTCGTCCTCAGATTCGTGAACTTCTTCGAGATGATGCATTTGACAGTGAACTGCGTGGCAAGGAAAAGATGGCATGAAAAGCCTTCCAGTTAGTGGCAACAATTTTTCTCGGAAACAAGAAGGCAGACAACTACAGGGAGTTGGTGGAAACCCTCCTCAAGGCATAGAAAAGCCTTGGTTGCAACATGTCACGAAAGATACATTTTGTGCACTCTCATCTCGATTTCTTCCCACCGAACTGCGGAACGGCGAGCGACGAGCATGGCGAGCGATTTCACCGGGACATTGTAACAATGGAGAAACACAATCAGGACAAATGGAGCCCATCAATGCTTGCAGACTATTGCTGGACAGTGACAAGAGATGCTCCATTTAATGAACACAAGAGACAAGCAAGGAAGCACAGAGTAGACACTGAATAAGGACTAAATTACGTACTTATATATACATCATAGTTTTTAGCCTTTTGTTTCATAATGAATGTTATCTATATAACCCTTTAACTGATGTTTTAAGTTTTGATTTAAAGCTTTCGTGACTGCAGTAATTCATATTCTTAGTTTTTTCGGTAAAGTCACGTTGAAGAGAAACAACAAAATAATAAAATATATATAAAACAATAAAAAAATTCTCACGACGTTTCGACCATAACTCAAACGGTCGTCTTCAGGTGTCGTTGTTTCTCTTCAACGTGACTTTACCGAAAAAACTAAGAATATGATGTTTTAAGTGTTAGATGAAAAGGACAGGTGACATGTTGTCATGTAAAGCAACCATAAACACACGAAAAGACCTATGTTTACAATTAATGAGTAAAACTCTACTATCTACACAATATACATAGATGTAATATTTTTGTTAAATATCTTGGGAACAGTAGCCAATCAGTTGTTTTAATTGTCATATTTAAATTGCGCACGTAAAAATCCATAATAAATAGCACATTTCATCTCTGAAGCAGACGACGTCTAAAAAATTGTAGACCAGTGTAAGCAATCGTGAAAAGCAGCGAGGCACCTGAACTGAACCAGTGCTGCAGCTCAACCAAAAATCGCTGGTGGAAAAAATTCCATATGCCAGCAGCAAAGCCTGCTTATGAAGAGCAGGTGTTCAATTTATTCTGGACACTTTTTATCGCTGCACCATTACTCTTTTAAAGTTTAATTGCCACGCAAGGCTGGCCTTTTGAGTGGTTCATACAAACAGAAAGCACAAGGTAACAAATCACGAGAACGATGGTGCTGGGCGAACCAGCCCATGCTACGAAGCTGTCAAATAATAGCACAGTCGTAACACGTGTGCCTCGCAGCAAGAAAGGATTGGGTTCCATTCTCGACTCGGGCGCCATTCTGTGTGTGTGTGTTCTCCTGCTGTTCTGCATTGGCTCCCTCTGGATTCTCCGGTTTTCTCCCATAGCTAAAAATATATCAACCATACAATGCAACTGGTATTTGCCAAACACCCCAATACATGAAAATTGCTCAATTCGGATCACACACAGCCGTAACCCCCCCCCACCACCAATTAGAAAACTCAACAGGACTTCTGCCTGGAATACGAGTCTTGGGACTGTGAGGCTTTCCTTCAACTGTGTTGACAACTGCATATACCTCGAATGAAGTAACGGTGGAGTAATTAGTGTCCCACAACAATTACTCGTCATCACTGTGTTTTTTCATTCTTCCCAGGAGTCATTTTTTCATACGATAATTATACTGCAAGCAAAGTGTTTATAAGTATGAAAAAATAAGAATAGGTTTTACGCTTTCTGGAAATAAAACAGGTGTTAAGATTTTGATTCAAAGCTTTCGTGACTGCAGTAATTCATATCCTTAGCTCTTTCGGTAAAGTCACGTTGAAGGGAAACAATAAAATAATAAAATATATCTAAAACAATACAAATTCTCACGTTTCGACCATAACACAACGTTTCGACCATAACACAAACGTGACTTTACCAAAAGAGCTAAGATTATAGGTGTTAAGATGTTCAAACACCAACTCGATACCTTTTATTGGCATGTTTTTTTTCCACAGGTAGGTGTGGTTAATACAGTCTCAATGCCTTGCAAAAGTTATCTATTTGGCGTTTAAACATCTTAACACCTGTATTATTTCCATAAATGGTAAAACCAATTCATCTTTTTGATACTGGAAAAATGTTCCATCAAGTGTTTATCGTTGATGTAAAATGATTACCTTGTAAGACACGTGACTACATGAGGGCATTGAACTACGTGAAGGGAAAGGGATTAAGTGAAGGCATAGGACTGCTATGCGCAGGGCATGGGACTGTGCGATCGCGTGTGGTTTGTAACACTGACGGACCGTCGTGAAGGGCTAAGCACAGCGCCAGCACGGGGCAGTAAACGTCGTACCTCAATCGCGTCGGACATGGGCATCACTGAGTTCGCCTTGCGGCTGCCGAAGCAGAACTTGGTCGCCTTGTAGATCTTCCAGTAGACAAAGAGCACCACGCACAGGGGCAGGTAGAAGGCGCCCACCGTGGAGAAGACGGTGTACGACGGCCCCTGGCTGAGGTGGCAGCGCTGCGACTCGGCCGAATAGTATCCCTCGCCCCAGCCGAAGAGGGGCGACAGCGAGATGGTGGCAGACAGCAGCCACGTGAGGGCGATCATGAGATTGGAGATACACTTGCGGGCCCTCGTCGTGTACTCCAGGTGCCTGGTGATGGACCAGAAGCGGTCGAGCGCGATGGCGGTCACGTTCCAGATGCTGGCCGTGCAGCAGAGGACATCGCATGAGATCCACACGTCGCACATGACGGGCCCCAGCCTCCAGCGGCGCTCGTGCACCTCGCTCACCAGGCTCAGCGGCATGACGAGTGCCGCGACCAGGACGTCAGACACGGCCATGGAGGCCACCAGGTTGTGCGGCACGCGGTGGAAGGTCTTCACCCGCAGGATGGTGACGATGACCAGGACGTTCCAGGCGAACGTGGCGAGGATGAGGATGGCGAGCAGCGTGAGCGTCAGGATGCTGAAGAAGGAGAAGGGCTGGCGCCGGTCGCCCGCGTTGTGGTCCGGCCACGGGTCGCTCCTGTTCGTCGCCCACGTGGACACGTTGAGACTGAGGTCGTCGTCGTGACCGTTCCCATCCATGGTCAGCGGAGGAGGCTCGCTTTAAGTCCTGAAAGGCAAACGCGACGCGGCTCGTAGCATAAAACGAGCAGCTCGTCGTATATTTACTGGACGTCTGTGAAACAGAGTTTTACAGCTCATCAGATTCCTCCAGTATAAATACATATTCTGATATGTTTGGGGGAGCGGTGGTGCAGTAATTAGCGCACTGCGCTATATGTACCCGACTATCTGAGGTCGATGGCAGGCCACAGCTACCATCAGTGGCGAGTGATATCTAAATCGATAATGATCCTTCTCCAAGTCGACTCAGCCTTACATGATTACCTGATGCGGTGTGTAAACATTGGTACTATTGAGACAAAGGCGTACGGGTGTGGTGTTGGCCAGCTTCAAGAGGTGCTCGATAACATGACTCTCCCTAACCATCTTTAAAAGACACAGGTAATATTTGGGGCCGTCCATAAATGACGTCACGCACCTAGGGGCGGGGGTCAGACATTTGTGACGATGTGACAATGGGGGGGGGGGTTGAGAAATGTGACGTCACATCAAAATGCGCATATTTAAATAAATATAGACAACACGTTCTACTTAATTAAATAGACTTTTAAATAAATGTTTTTTCCTACATCAGAGTGCAGCGCCACATTAAATACGCACTACAATGAAAATAGTTTAAAGCGATTTGAAGCATGTTTCATTTTTTTTGGGGGGGGGGGGCAGAGCTTTGTGACGTCATATTTGAGGGGGGTATGACTTTTTGTGACGCCGTGTGATGAGGGGGGGCGGGGTCAAAAATCGTCCAAAATCGCGTGACGTCATTTATGGACGGCCCCTTAGTCTTTGTACCGTTGTTAAAAAAAAACAATGCCCGCTTTCAGCGGCTTGGCGCGCTGCTTTAGATTCTCTTGGGTTCGATTCCTGGCCACGGTGCACGACGCTCGTGGCAGTTGGTACCGAAGCTTGAACGGCCCTCCCCTCGGTCGACTCAGCCTGAAAGGAGTCTGTGTGTTAAACAAACGTCAGCAGTGTGGAGACAAAGGCCATCGGGTTGTTAGGGGTGCGTGTTTTCTCTCTGCCCACGGCCTTAATAAGGCGCTCCGCTATCGGCCTCCTGCACAGAAAGTGAGTCGGGGAGTGCTGCCAACACCAGTGACAATTATCCGAACCGGTCCTGGGCCTCCCCTGAGGTCAACTCAGACTCAAACGAGTACCTGGTGCGGTGTGTAAACATCAGCACTGGGGAGACGAAGGCGTCCGGGCGTGGTGCTGCCCTCCCCCGAACCCCTTCGTGTGCCGTGCTCGCCTACAGCACTTTCTCCTACAGTGTGTCAAGGCCGGGAGTCGCCAACCTGCGGATCCGGAGCCGCATGCGTCTCACTGAGGACTGCTTCGCGACGTTACGTGTCAAGGACCGCCTTGTGTTCACGTGCATTGCGGTTCCTACAAACAAACAAAAAAAAAAGAATTTCAACCGAATTCGAAGAAAATGATTCCTGTCGTTGTCTTGGTTTTTGCCGACCCCTGGTCAAGCCTAATACGGGGGATCTTTGCATCTTTGTTGTGTCGCTGTTCACGAGTCGCTGCTGCACGCGCGCATCCATCACACGGGAGTCGATCTCACCGCGCCGCCTCGTACAGCACAGCTCACGGGCGCGTCCCTTTGGCGCGCACAGCGACGCGCAGCGAGAGCGGGCGGGCCCAGCCACCCGCGCATCCGCAGCTGCGTCTTCCCGCTCCTCATCTCACTCGGCGCCGCAACCCCTGAGCCAGAGGTGGAATTTACACATTCCTATGGAGGGGAGTGGGTCATGTCCGTCCGGGGGGGGGAAACCCAGAGTGGACTTGTAATATAAAGTTGTCCTCATTTAATATACCACTCGGACTAACCCCCCCCCCACCCACACCCTTGCCAATGAATCACGGATTGAGCCTATCTATCTATCCCAAATTGGGGTTCACGATTTCTGATGAATTCGTCAAGCGCCCAGCAGGACTCTCCAGCAGGCAACCGTGGAAGCGGCAGCTGATTGACGTGGGGGCAAAACCGGCGCAGCCATTACCCGGCGCGTGCGGAGCATCGCCGACTCATCTTAACATTTACTCCCACTGCACACCTAAAGGGCTTATTTCTATTTCCGTAGAAAACATTAAATCCCAAATTTATTGGACTGCAAGGAGAGTTCCTGCAAATCGGCCCATCTCTCAGTAGTATGCGCCTCTTGAAGAGATCACGCGAATGTTTAACAAGCTCAAAGTAAGCCGGCACGATTCACGTTTTAATTATAACTACCTACGTATGTATGTTACACTTCTTTAGCACCGTACGTAGCCAACCGTGCTGATTGGAGGTGCGGGGGAAGGACAAAAAAACTAAACATAAAAAAATCAGTTCTAAAGAATGAGTTTTCAATTTAGATTTAAAAGTGCATATAGCTCCAGTGGCTTCCTAATATTGGAAGGAAGAGCGTTCCAGACGGCCACAGAAGCGGCGACCGTATTTGTTCAATTATTAGCCAAAAGCCGCTGCTGCGAGGATGACTGGAGTTCGCTTGATGGTTTTTGCTCCTTGACGAGATCAGCAAGGTTTTGTGGTTCTTTTGTGGCGAGCATTTTACATATACATAAGCCTATTGGACATCTGTAAAAAAAGAGCTTTGTAGCTTATTGGAATTCTCCAATATAAATACATATTCTGATTCTGACATTGAGGGTGTCTGTGGACCATACTGCACCACTTAAACGTTATCATTGTTACACTTTTATACCCAGGAAAGCCACACTGAGTCTCATGAATCTTCGTCAGGAGGGGTCCTACCAAGTTTTCGATTTAGGGGGTGATGATTGCTACCCACGCTGGTCAGTGTGGATCGTTGAAGGCTTAAAGAATTGGTACGTCGAATCACCACCTCAGACTCGCTGGTGACACAGCCATAACCAACACACATGGCAATGATTTAGGGATCATCTCAATACGGCGATAAATATCGTAGGTCATATCGTGATTGGGCGGATGGGATCCGCAGTCGTAAATACAGCGACAAGAACCTCTGTTCGATTCTCCTCCAAATTCGGCCGCATTTCTGCATTCATTTGTACGCTTCTATCGCTATTCTCCGTGCGTTTCCTGCAGGTTCTCCGGTTTCCTCCTGTGGTAAAAAATACCATAAAAAAGCCACCCACAACATACAGTGTGACTGACATTGGCCAAACATCCACACGGTGAAGCATGATCAGCAAAACACTGAAGTGGGATCACAGCAGCTGCGAAAATGTTACGGCTGAGACGTAGTAGAAGCTTTCTTTAATAAACAGGCGTCTAAGTCACCGAGATTGTATGCCATCATCGCAGCAAGTTTAATATATCCTCTCCAGACAAGATATGAAAGAGGCAATGAATAGTTCGTACTAAGAATTAAAGTGCTAAAATAGCTATCACCCATAACATTAGTGTGCTTCGTAAACATTTTCTGGAGTAAATTGATGCCATGGCGATCGCGTGACGTCTTTCTCCGACAGCACACGCGTTATAAGCCGTATTGATTGTAGCTGCAATAATAGATCTTTGACAGGCTTACGTTTGAATGAACTGCAACTCCACAGCCATTAAGCAATCCTTACTTCCAATTGAAGTAAGCAGAGACATGACAATCAGACGATAACGGCGTGCAATAAGATCCCAGCGTCAGGGGAAACTGACATCGTGATGATTGTCAAGTCTTGATTTAAAGCTTAAGTGACTGCAGGGATTCATATTCTTGGTTCTTTCGGTAAAGTCACGTAGAAGGGAAACAATAAAATAATAAAATATAAAACAATAAAATGCTCACGACGTTTCGACTGCAACACAAGCAATCATCATCAGGTGTGAAAACCACAATAAGAAAAGTTTATATATTTTTTTATTGTTTCCCTTCTACGTGATTTTACCGAAAGAACCAAGAATATGATTGTCAAGTAGTCAAACGCCACACCACCGCTTCAAGATGTCGCTTGCCAATGATGCTCGCCGTGGCCGCGAAGAGAACTCAGTCTGGGTACCACGGTGGTGAGATGTTAACTACCTCGCCTGGTATACAGCATGGTCGTGGGTTCGATCCCGACTCTGATGCCTGCTGTATATTTGTTGTTGACATGTTCTCTTCGTGTTCTCTTCGTGGTCGCATGGATTTCATTCCCCGGGTCCTCCGGGTTGTCCCTCCACGTTTAGAATCGACATTCGTTTAGAGAATTTGGCTGCTGTAAAATTTCCACGTGATAAGCCGCCGCTTCGTTGAGCTGTGATGGCCAGGTCGCTTCTGAAAAAAAAAACGAGCTATACAGCTCAGTGGGCCTTACCTGTTAAAATAAAAAAAATAGTTCGTAATTTTCAGTATACCCGGGTTTTTTCAAGCGCATGCAGTGTGCTAGCCGCTGCGCCACTGACCACCTCCCATCTCATAACGTTAACAGTTACGTCTGCTTTATTTGAGGTTTTTGTTTTTTAACGCTAACCGACAACGTCCACGTTCATCTGTTTAATGCGGTGTAATGGAGATGTATATCCATTCGTGGGTTTCATAGACATCCACGAAACGATCGTCAAAGTGCACGGAGTCCAGGCGACCTCCGCATCGCATTACATGCCGCGTTCGTGTCAGTGCCCTGCGCCGACTCCTAACGATAGCGACTTGGGCTCTAAAGGCACCTCCAGAGACAAAGATCCCCCGTATAGGCTTAACAGACTGTTGGGGCAAGTGCTATTCGCGAGTAGCACCGATGAACGTCCGTACGGCATACGATAAGCGGTGGGTGGCCAGCACCACGCCGGGCCGATTTAGTCTCCCCCTGTGGCAATGTTTACACACCGTACCAGGTACTCATTTGAAGCTGAGTCGACCTACGGGAGTCCCAGGACCGGTTCAGATATTCGTCACTACACTACCGCTCCCCACTGCGTTGGCCCCTAACGATAGCGAGTTGGAGCGCTAAAGGTGCCTCCACACTCACCCATGTACGGACGCGTGGCTCCTTAAGCCTCTAAAATCCCATCACATCACTGACCGCAGCGAAACTGAACACAACAAACAGAAAGACTGCGACTGTCGCGATTTACGATAACCTCCTGGCACAGCGAACTACAACGACGACGACAACAACCGGTTGCGCTAAACAGGTCCACGAAAATAAACGCATATCAATTAAGGGCAGACATGCGGGCATGCGTGCGTGTGTTTTAAAAAACAATTAATCATCTCGTTAACGCGCGTATTATACCCTAGCGAGAAATGCCCCCCCCCAGCGTGATCAAGTCGCAATTTGTTTGGCATCTGAATATCCCGCGCCGTTAGAACACTGCTCGCAAGCAATGGATGCGAGGTGTTTTCTCTAACGATTCGGAGCATTACCGGGCTAATGTAATGCGAGCGCTGCGAGGGATCTTGATGGGGTATGGCGCACGTGATGCCTGCGTAAAGCGCGCGCACGCAGCCGGCACACTGCTTCCCCTTAATGACATCGCCGTTTGGCCGACTAATTCAAGCGGTTGTAAACAAGCCGTGGTGATGATGCAAAAGATCGCCTGGCCACTTGATTGCGAATGCCACCGTTGACCTATCGGTGCAATCTTCTCAAAATTGGCACCGTGATGATGATGTTCAACGCATTACCCTTGACCAAGACGTTTGCAGAAGTGATCACTGCCCAATGCGTGAATCACATCTTCAATCACTCTCGCTCAAAAGAAAAACGCGATTGCACGAACACAAATCGTGCCACTGTCGCGCATCCCATAATCACCTTCCGTAATCATCACCGTTGTTTCAGTACCAATCATTATTAATGACGGCTTAGGTACATTAGTTGTGTGTGCACGTGCGCAGCGTGCACCACGACAACTCGAGCCCGTCTGAATTAACACGAACACACAAGATAAAGACCCACCCCCACCGTGTAGCCTCAACATACTTTTGGGGCAACTGCTTTTATCGAGTACCCATGAAGGTCGGTACGGTACACAAGGTGGTGGGTGGTCAGCGCCACGCCTGGCCGCCTTTGTCTCCTCAGTGGCGATGTTTACACACCACATCAGGCACTCATTAGAGGCCGAATCGACCTAGGGGAGGCCCATAACCGGTACAGATAATCATCACTGGTGATGGTCGTGAGCGGGAATCGAACTGGGGTGGCCGGGTTCGGAGCTACCGCTCTCCGTACGAACACACACGCACGCGCACACGCGCGCTAACTTACCGGTGAAGTTGCGCGCGTCGCTCGCTGCGACCGCCGGACAGCTCGACTGCAATCTCGAATCAAAATCTTCCCAGCTGAACCCAATGAACCCACCTCCTCCTACTCCCCAACCACTGCCACGCAAGTCTCGTTCCCAAATCACAGCTCACGCGTTCCGCACTCCTCCCCCTGCTCCTCTTGGCCCTCGTCAGGGGTAAATGGACAAAATACGGGACGCGATAACGCGCGCGCGTGCGGGGTTTGTGCCGAGCTTGCAGCGGAGCCAGCGCCTTAAAATAGCCCGCCCATTGCTGCCGGGATGGAATCGCGCTTGAGAGGGGGGTTGGTGCTCTGCACAGCAAGGTGTTGGTAAAAAAAGAAGTGCACCCAGTCGCTGCTTAATTATGGTATTTGAACAGCTGCCAGTTGCGCGCTAATTGGGAGTGCAATGATCGTTGTTGTTATTATTATGACTGTCATACATCTTATACGTCCGTCTTTCGTTGGGTCTGTTTGAACTGTAATATATATTGCCACATATAAAGGACCAGGGAGGATGGTTCATGGCTTCCGAGTCTAGCTTACGGGCCCCGAAATGTGCGTCTTCATCGTGAGTTACATTTGGGGAAAACAGAGGCAGAGGGGGAAAACAGAGGCAGAGAGGGAAACGTTTGGAAAGAGAGCGAAGCAAAGCAAGTAATGCCCACTTGAGCTACACGGGTCGACAATGCTTTTATACTTGCTGTCGGTCTTAGCCGGACAGCAGGTGAGGTTTACATCCCGTATAAACGCATGGATTGTGTTTGTAAGTGGTCGCTTTGTAAACAGGAGTACATTGCACTCATTGTACTGTTATTGTTTACTGCCATTACGTTTATACTCAAGTTTACTGGTTTGCAATGTGTTGTGGGGTGGGTGGCTCATCTGTGGGTCTAAGGGCGTTGCTGCTAATAGCAGGTAGCACAGTAATTCGGTTAGCAATGTCTCGTTGCAAAGTGTGGTGCGTTCTTCCCACACGAAAAAAAAACCCACGAGCAAACAATCCCGATGCTCTACAGACGAGTCGTCTTGGGCCTCAGTGAAGCTTTTTTCTGGGAACGATAGAATAATATTGATAGAATTGTTATCGCCTAGGCCAAAGTCAATTACCGCCGAGGACAAAAAACATGGTTGGCTACGTATGGTGCGAAAAGAAGTTCACAAAGAAGTTCAACATACATTCATACGGCAGATATCGGAAGCTAAGCAGGTTTGAGCCTGGAATTGCGACCACCGTGGCAAACATTACGGGGTGAGGTAGGCGCTTTGATCAGTAGAGGGCAGTGGAGAAAAAAAACATCTCCCCCCCCAGCCCCCACTCCGGACCTTCATAAATCCACACTGCTCAGCGTGGTGAAGCGTGGTTAAATAGCCCCCACGAGTCATACAGCGTGGCAGAGGCCCTCATCCAGCAGTGTATCGACAAAGGGCTGTACACGGACATGTACAATTATTATGAGTACATCACGGGGGGTGGGGCGGGGGACGCTTTAGACACACTCGAACACGAATCGATTAAGTAAGAATTTTCATATGGGGTTTAATAACATGAACTGTAATTGCTTAATATGGAATTAATATGGAATGTATTCCTTAAATGGGGCCTCTTAACCCATGCTAATATACCCATGCTTTCGAGACAAACTTATAAAGCGCAGGGGTGACTATTATGAGTGATTCATGTGCGCAATGATTAGTCGCGGTTTACCAATGTAACGGTGCATTGGGACTGGGGCTGATGATCTCATCATTCGATGTTATGACCGAGTATTTAGTTTGAGCAGCAGGGTTTTCCATCGCGATGTACAAACTCCATTCAAAATCGCAGCCTACTGGGTCGCCTCGAGCCCACTGTCATCATCTCTCACCACCACAACCACCTAAGAATGTACACTAACTGGCCACCTGGAAAGCTCCGGTATTACAATTTAATTTAATGTAGAATTTACTCACATCAAAGTGCCCCAATCGAGCACTGGGGTTAGCAGCGCTCGTCTCTGTTAGAGCCAGTGGTGGACTTTTCACAATCTTAGGGCAAAAGACAATCTCTCCACAGGGCTACCATTGCCAAACTTCCAAAACGTAGATTTATTTTCCTTACCCTGGTCGGGAATTGTGCTCGCAATCCTCCTGATTGCAACAACAACACCGCACAAGAACGCTGCACCGTGTGTACAAAATCCCTATCAGACCTAAACACAATGGAAACAAACACCAGTTCCCGAATAATTTCAACTGTAGACATCTTGCCTTAAGTCACCGTCTGACTCAGCTAAAGGCAGTGGTGAGACAGAGGCAATTACATTGGTTTTGTCATTATGACTCATCGGTACAGTTATTGATGGTGCCTTGAGACACGATCAATGACCAGAATCCAGTTGTTCAGGAATATGGTGGCTTTATATCATACTTACATTTTTGAGAAGTTTGCAACTCACACTTAAGCACCATGCGCGTATTCGTGTAATCGTTGACACTTTTTGTTTTTCTCCGACTTGCGCCGATATTTTGGTTGAGACGAGTTCCCTCGTCCTTCACAGGTTCGAGTCGAGCACCGCTATGTATGTATGTTGAACTTTTTTCGCACTGTACGTAGCCAACCGTGCTAATCGGAAGTGATGTGGGGAAAGACAACAAACTGAAATAATGACACGGTTTAGACCACTACGGATAATCGAGGGCGACTATAGGAGGCTTTTCAGGTTCAAACTGTGACCTCCGTATGATAAGCAATGTAGACATTTGAATCATTTGACGGGACCCCGGGGTCCCGCAAAAATCAGGTCAATAATTATAATTTTTCAGTCCGCCCACTCGTGATCCCGACAGCAACGCGCCGCCCGCCCAGACTCGTGCCAACGAGCGCCAGCAGGCGGCGATCAACACGATGGGCGCCACCCCACCGGCCAAACGCAAGCCAGGGCGTCCGCCGCAGTCGCGCGCGGCGACAACACCCTCCGGTCAGCCGTCGATCCTCAGGTTGTTTGCCAAGGCGAGCCCGCCCCCGCAGTGAATTTAACGTGTTTATGTAATTTTTCAACTTTTACGAAACTTAGTGCCCCGAGTAGCTCTCGACGAGGCCAATCGATTGACCACTAGTTTTGTTGTCGGTAAGGCAAGACTCGTGTCGCTACGCGGTTATTCCCACCCCGGGGCAGTGATGGGACCCCGAGATCCCGCCAATTGCTTCATTTGATGGTTGATCATCAAAATAGCCACGAGACCCTTTCCTGCTGTCAGAAATGGCGCTGCATCTTCATCCCTCGTACACTGTGCAATTAAACAAAATACAATCTATCATTGGATTGGACTCTTTGGAGGAGAATCTGGCTCAATCTAGAGGAAGCCTAACAAGGGCATCTATTCGAGTGCCAATATCTGCCCTTGACATAAAATGGCACGTGCACAAAAAAACGCCCAAAACCGTGTTAAACACTAATTTAATGTGTGTGTGTTGTACAGACGAGACACAGGACAAGTGTTGGTGGGGCACAGTCAATTTGCCCTTTGTCAAACAACCCCAGACCTGCGATTATCCCGGTTGGGTAAGTACGGTACGACAGAAGTTCAACATACGGCACGTACATACAACGCGGTGCCCATGGAAGATTCGTTATCAATTTATCACGAGAATTGATGAGCAGAGATGCGCTGTCTCCTTATAAGGCAGTGTTATTGACAAATGTGTTGAGTGAAATGATTATTTAATTCCTTGGTTTGAACTCAATTTTCCTACCGATTACAAATCTCATTTTTTTTGTGTACAGAGGATGCTAGCTTGCATTTGATGACATCTGTGACGTTTGGATTGTCGTCAGAGCTTGTGGGAGCAAGTGTCAAAACAAGACGAGTTGTTTCAGTAATTCACTGTCGTCTTTTAAAAAAAACTAAATCAATACTTTACCGGTAACCAATTCAAAATCTTACTCGCATAATCCGAGCTGCCCTTTTTAGCCGGCCCCATATTTCCCAGGGCTCCCTCTGTGGTCATGGCCCATCTCTAAAGAGGCACAATGTTAGCTGGAACCACACACTTCTAAATCACTTTTATGCAAATTAGGCAATGTTGTATTCTTCAACCTGTTACTTCAGAGGCCCAGAAACCTCTTCTAATCAACACTTACATAGATGTTATCACTGTGCTGTGGTTAGAGCACTGAACTCCCAATAGAAAGGTTTCAATTTCAAATCCCAGGTGGAGTGAATTCAGCCCATCGCTCCTCCTGTTCTGTCTCACGACAGATATGGTGGTGTGTTTATACAGGAACTTGCTGATATGATAGTGCTGAGTTTGGTCACATGACCAGGAAGTTTCGGGTTAAGGGTCTCTAAGCCACGAGGCCAGGAGGGGGTATCAGCCATTACACAGAGTACAAAATGGAGGCACAATTAGCATCTCAGTGAAGATGGATGCATCTATTCATTGCGGAATTTAAGAAGTCTTGTCTGTTAGTTCGTTTATGTTCTTATAATACTGGGAATGCTGTTATAATTTTGGAATCGGCGTTATAATGCTATAAATACCTTTCTAATGCTGTTAAATTGTTATGATGAATATGGGGCCTAGTTAACAACGAAGCCTGTCACTTGCATTATTGTAAATGTTATTTGTAGTTGGATAAGTCAAGCCAGACTTGTGCCCATGTAACTTTAATGCGTTCTTGAGAGCAACAATGAAGAAGTATCTCATCCACAGTTCAGTGTTATATGCAGCACTGTACATTTAGGCTGCATTATGGTGATTACATAAAGTGACGTTATTTAACACAGTAGCTTATTCTCTTGTTGTATAGCTATTCAGTACTAATGTAGGTGCCTGGTCCATCCACGACCTATTGTTGAGATTCATGTTATCTAAGACAATGTTATGATGCTGCAGTGTTCATTTATTGTATTGATATTGCAATTATTAACAGATGCTGTATTTTGTGTTGTGTTTTTGCATCAGTTTTACCTCGTTTCATTGATTAAATACGTTGGAGTCAGATGTTCACCCTGGCTCTGAAGGTTTATTGAATGTGAGGTTAAATACTCGGAAAGTGGTGCAATGCAGCACACAGCGATGCCGAGACACCTCCAATATTGATTAAATCAGTGCTATTCAATGGTAAGCCAACAGTGATCATTGTATAATGATCTTTGCTTCTGCCATGGGATGTATTACATTTTCCACTCTTGGTTTACGTATTGATGTATGTTGAACTTCTTTCGCACTGTACGTAGCCAACCGTGCTAATCGAGGGTGCCAGGGAAGG